TTGTATAATGTTAAAAAATTAACCGTTACTTTGACAGCATCATTTACAACTAAATTTAATAAATGAGAGAGATGAATAGGGTACAGAAAAAGCTCCAGAATTTATTTTCCTTAAATTTATGATTTATGTATCCATTGTCATAAAAATTTGTCTTTCCACTTTTTTCCCTAGACTACAAATATCCGAGTACAAAGAAACTGGTTTCGACTTATTTCTACTTAAGTAGTAGTTAAATAATTAAGCAATTAGGGAATTGGGGACATAAACAAAACCCTGATGAAAGAGCCAAAATTTTACTTCAACAAAAGCTTAACTGAACTAATGTCTAGCCGAGTACAGTGGAGACTGATTTCTTCGTATTATTAATGTAATAAAGACAAAAATCTTCCACTTTCACATCAAATGGAGTTGAAAAAAGTTGCAGGTAGATCTTGTATTTCTGGAATTCACCAAACCTCTCATTGAATGATGTAAGGAGGGTGTTAACTTGGTCAGAGTAATCCATCTTCATATGTGGGTATTTCTCTTTCATGGCCTTGCAATGTGGAAAGTGTGTAAAGTTCTCTGATTGCATGTGAGACTTGAAAAGTGATAGTTTGGTCATAAATGCATTGATGTTACTTGTCAACTGAGAAACAAGTTGCATCTTTTCCTGCAATCTCAAATTAAGGTCGTTTAGATAAGAAGTAATGTCAGCAAGGAAAGCTAAATCACACTGCCATCTTTGTTCCTCCAAATTCCTTGTAGTGTTCCCCCGTTATTAGAGGAAAGTGATAATAGGCCCCAATAGCTCCACAAATCTCTTGAGGACTGCTGCCTTGCTCAGCCAACAAACTTCAGTATACGTGGGCAGGTCAGCATAATCAGCATCTATTTCTTCAAGAAATGATGTGAAGAGTCGATGGTTGAGTCCATGACGGCGGATTAAGTTCACAGTATCATATACATCTTTCAGCAGACGTTCAAATCCCAGCTTCTTTGCACAAAGTTGCTGTTGGTGAATTATGCAATGATACTGGACTAACTCCTTTTGCCTGTCCCCAAGGTGGTTTTTCAGCAAGGTGACCATGCCATTCTCACATCCAACCATAGATGGTGCTCCATCAGTGGCAATGCTGGATAGCTTGTCAAAGTCCAGTGCTGATTTGTTGCAAACGCTCAATAAACCAGTAAGTAAGTCAGCACCAGTTGTATGTCCGGAAAGTGATGCCATGCCAAGAAATTCTTCATTCACAATAAAATCTAGTGAAACACTTCTAATAAACACAATCACTTGTGCTGTTGATGATATGTCAGTGGATTCGTCCACAGCCAAAGAAAAATAAGCACAGTTTGCAACTAAAATATTAAGTTGGCCAGAAATGTCTGATGCAATTTGCGAGATTCTCCGTTGTATCGTCATGCGGTTAAGACTGATTGTTTGAAAACACTTTGTCTTCTCAGGACACATCTTCTCACTTGCGATGATAAGACACTTTTTTATCATATCGCCATCTGTGAAAGGTTTCCCATTCTTGGCTATTAAAGCAGATATTTCTAGGCTGGCTTCAACAGCCGCATCCAATTCTCCAGATTGTTTCTTGAACACATTTTGTTGGCTGATTAGTGATCGTCGTAACGATTCGATTTTCCGTTTGCGTTCCGTACCTTGCAGAAGGAAATCCTTGTGTTGGCTTTCATGATGTCGCTTCAGGTTGAATTCTTTTGGCACTGCTATTGTTCCATTGCACAAAAGGCAAATAATGCTGTTGTTCTGTTGCACAAAACAGTACTTGTTAGTCCACACTTCCACTTCTTGAAACTGATGATTCTCGCGATTGACCTTGCGTTTAATGCCCGGCGCCATACTGTTCACTCTGCAAAACAATGTCTCATTGTGCCGAAAATTCTGAGGCCCGCAACAAATCATGTTTGAGATAAGGCAAGCTAGACTACCACGTGCTTTGTTCTGTATCCACTCTGACCAAAGACTAAAGAGGCGGGGACAGAAGACTATTACGCACACGTGGCCAGGCAGGTCTTAATTCGTTCGACCCCTGTCCGGGCGTCTCCACCATTTCTCAGAATTTGTGAGTCAGATCGTCAACATGCCAGGTGCAGGACACTAATCCATCATAAATGTGGTTACCATTCTTACCTAAATTATATTTATGGCCCGTCAGTTTTACCCCCGTGTTCAGAAATGAATCAAAAGTGATTAACACAGTGCAGTGGAAAATCTGAATATTTTAAATATAATTATTAAAATTGCGATATCTCGTTTCAAATTGGCGCTAGAATCAATCTGTTTTTTTTTTTTTTCTGTCACAAATATATCACAGTTTACGACTGTTAAATTTCAAATAAAATAAAAATTAAAAATAATAATTTAATTTTAAATTTACGAAAAAAAGAATGTAAAAATAAAAGTAAATAAAAAGTTCCAATTAATTTACTACTTAAATAACCTAAATATATCTGTTTTCTTTCAAACAAAAAAAACCGCAGCTTTCTAGCTACACGGAATCATTTTACAACCCTCTTTGTTGACAAGTTTATGGCTTGACGCGGTTTGTAATAATTATTAAATCCAAAATATTTTAATGCAAATGGCTTCCTTTTAGTCGTAATGACTCTATTCCAACTACAGTATTAATTTTCTTGGTCCAACTTAATAATAATAAATTTGATGTGAAAAATTTTTTTTCTATTCTTTGTCTATGGAGAGATATTGTTGTAAATTATTGGTTTTATAGCTTTTTGTACATTCCTTTTTGAACTCTGGTTAGTTTTTTTCTAGTTTGAATGACATTAGGTTGACGAATAAGCGTCTTTTCAGAAAAGATTGATTCAAATTCGACTATACCAATCAGAATCTAGAATGTAAACAAATGCTAAAAAATCGTTATTTTCATGGTTTTTCAGCGCTATTTTCACTTATTTTTGTTATTTGACGCTATTTAGACGAATAGGCAAGTTTTCCGAAGCATAAAATTGAAGATTTCCCGCCAAAATAGAAACTTCCCGATAACATCGGAAATGACGTTCTAACATCATTTTAAAATATTCGATATCTAAAGCAGAAAGTGTTAGCTAAAAACAGACTTATTTATAGAACAATCCCCCATTTCTCACCTCAGGAAAAGTCATAAAACAGTTGGGTGCTAATGACTTGGTCAAAGGGAAAAAGTTCTACACTTAGAAACTTCGAAAGAAGGGATTTGGCCTGTACCGTCCGCGGGCCGCATAAACATTGATAGGGGGCCGTATGTGGCCCGCGGGCCACAGGTTGTGCACCCGTTAAAATTAAGCCATAAAAGTATCTAATATTTTGTATACTCTGTGCACTGAGTTATTTGATACCAGACTGTAATCTTTGTCCTAATACAATATTTTAAATATTCATAGTGTTAACTGCTCTTTAAATGGGCTGATGAGGGCATTCCCATATCAATAAAATTATATCTAATTGTCTTGTGCATCTTTTTCCATTTCATCCTGTTTTGATAAGCTCCTCCCACTTAGCTGTGTTGTTAAGCTATTAGTTTTAATGAAGATTTGGCAGCTAGAAACGTACTCAATTGAGTAATCATGCAGATTGATACAAGTACTTGCTTCAAAGAAATCAAGACTTATACTAAATAAGACTAGCCAGTTGGCCAACTAAAAATTTTAATTGTGTAGTGCCTGAGTCTAAGTTCTCAGATACCAGTCAAAGGATGGCCAAAATCAAAATGTGCCATCAACAGCTATATCAGCAGAATCATGTTCAGATCATATGCCCTAACTACCCTATTACTTAAATTTGTAGTTCATTTTACTGTTACTTTGTGTGCACTTACATTTTATAATTATTGCTGTTATTTTGCAATTATATAATTTTAATTTGTAGAGATATGATATCATACTGTTCACTCAGTGTTGCACCTTAGTTTGATGTGTTGACGTTAATAAATGACAAGTCCTAACAACTGTCTCAGACTTTGACTTTATCACATGCTTGGTAATGTAACAATGATATGTTTGTGTAACATTCATTGCGACATCCATGAAAATACAGTAGTTATAATTATATAATCACAACTTACTATCTATAACAATAATACTAACTAAATTACAGCCAAGAAAATTCATATAAATGGGCTTCTTAAATAGTGTGCAAGGTTTAACAAAATATTAAGAATTAAAAAGACAAAAACTAACTACTGTATTTTCATGGATGATTAGCATGCTGCATAAAAACAAGGGAGACCAGCATGCTGTTTAAACTACAACTAAAATATAAAATTAATCAGATCTAACAAAACTAGTTGTTAATTAAACGTTAAAGAAAACATTCTTCTGCATACAATAAGATAATAACATTGCAATTTGATTGAAGCACTTTTGGAATTCCACGAGTATTTTCATCCTTAGATAAAGACAAAATGAAAAAATTAAACATAAAATCATAGTTTTTGATGTAATGTTGACAGTTTCACAGTTATAGAATAAAAACTTGTTGATTTTTACGTGGCATAATTCATTCATTTTTTTTATACGTGCCTTCTAGAGAGGGTTGTATAACCTCACTTAAACCGGCATGCTAGCATTCCCCAGGATAAACTGGCATGCCGGTTTTTACCATACAGAAATATCTGATTTCCTGGTCTCCCCTGGATAGACCATCATGCCAGTCATTCTGCAAAAATATGATAACTATCTGTAACATTTTTAACGAAAGAAGAAATTTTAGCTAATATAGATTAAAAATATACAAGTGACTTGTATCTTTGATCATTGTAAATTTTTTTCTTGCAACATCTATGAAATAGATTTGACTAGTAACACATCAAGTAGAAAATATGATTTCAGAAATCTGTGAGGTAAGTAATTTAAGTTCATAAAAAAGTAATTTATTATTCCATATGAAATTTCTATTTATCAATATAGAGTTTAATTAGTAAGTGATTTTCTATGTCATCCAATAGAATAACAGGATTTGTAAATGTTATTTAATTGTAAATTAAATGATTACTTACCAGAAGATTTGTCAAATTTATGAAGTGATTTATACATTGTTTTATACCAATCACTAGCATATTCTTCTTTAACTTCCTGAAAGTAAATTTAATTTTCTCATAAAATAATTACATTATGTGAAGTTTGTGTATCTAAATTTTAAATAAAAAAATTATTAAAAAATTAACTCTCAATTTTTCACACTATAATATAACAACATTAATAAAAACAGTAAAACTCTGTTTATCTCAACAGTAACACTCTTATAAAACAGTAAAACTCTAAAAAAAGAAAGCCTTCATTAGTTCATATTAAACTTTAGCTCTAATCTAAAACACATGTAAGTAAGCAGTTCTACAGCTAGAAAATTTGGCACTTAGAATCCCAAATTGTTAACAAAAGCAACAAAATGAAAGTAAAAAAAGAAAATAGTTTAAAAATTCAGTTCCTCTAATATGATAAGTTCTAAATATTAAAGTTTCAAATATCCTCACAATGACACAGAATGGCAACATATTTAAGCAATAAGTATTTTAGAAATCTTTTTAAAAAATAAAAAACACAATAAATAAATAAATAATAAAATAATGAAAATTTCTAAGTGTAAAAAAATTTAACTTTTTTAATGTTATAGTAAAGTTAAAAATTTTAATTCTAATATGCATTTTTAAATTGTATATATTTGATATATATTTTAATACAAATGTAATTAAAATTTCCTGTCAAATTACTGAGTGATGGATAATTTTTGGTTATAATTTTATAAGAAAATGTAACCGTCTCTTGCCAGGTTCACTGGAATGATAAAAAAAACCCAGGTCTTTTTGAGTATCATTCATTTGATGAAATTATATCATACATGTGCTAAAACAAAAATAAGATGTGAAATAACTGTCTGGGGTATTGCATCCAATTACACAATTAACAAACTACAAGTGGAACAATCGTTTTATTCGAGCTATCCATTATCCACACTAATTATATTCTGATATAAAATCTCTAAACTGATAAAACTGACAAAATTTTTTGCTTACATATAAAACAAGCCTTATTGGCAAGCTATAGTTTTATTAAAGGTAATAAGGAAAATAGTTACCTTGAAAATACAATAAAAAAAATATTGTGATGTTTCTATTCGAAATATTTGAAGGATTTGTAGTTACTCTATCCCTGCAGTCAAGTTCACAGTGTAAAAATCACCACCAGTATTCTAAATGATAATCCATTGGAACAAACTAAGAAATGAATCTCCGGAAGTTAAGAGTTACAGCGTATTTAAAAACAATGTTAAGAATTTTGTTTCGTCATAACATTGTTCAATTGATTTTCATGTTTAACATGTCAATTTTTTTCATGTTTCACTAGTTTTTCTTTTCTTGAAAAAGGCCAACTAGTCATATTATCTTTCTTTATAAAATAAAAATTAATATGACAAATTTGTCTGTATAGATCAGTGTTCCCCGTTTAAAAAAACAATAGATACCAATAAAGTCAATAGATAATTCTATTGGTGCTCTATTGATTTCTACTGGAAAGTAAAAACCAATACAAATTTCTATTGATATTCTACAGCAATATTTTAAAACAATAGAGTTTTCTAAGAATAAATTAGTTCAATCAATAAACAATAAAATTGCTGAGATCAGAAAATTAGTATTATTCAGCTATATTGTTAATTAAGATATAAGAAAATTATGAAATGAAAATTTTTCATACTGCAACTTTTATGTCATGATAATTGGGTGCTGTTAATATTCCATGTGACAAAACACGCATATATTTTATGTTTTGGAAAAATACCTTGAAGTTTTGAATAAGCAATTACAGTGCTCTCTTGCTAATCTATACTAATTATTGTATGTTATTGTTCAAATTGATGAAATTAATTTATATATGTGAGAAGCCATGCCATAATATTATTTACTCTAACCCTTTCTGCAACATTGGAACAGTTAGTCCCTCTCACCTTGTCAGTGGATGGCTGGTAACTGTTATGTTATTCGAAGAGCAAGAAATCGAAAGATCTCTGTCCTTAATCGGGATTCCTGATTCCAGTTAGGATAGTTTGAATTTGTGTCCTAACTTGCAATTACAACTACATCTCAATATATGTTCGAGTGAGAAGGGTCTATTTAACATTCAGCAGGGAGAGTCCAATAGGATGATTCATCCTTGAAAGAATTCAAATCAAAAACAAGTAAACAAAAACAACAAGTTGAATACAGAAGAGTCTCAAAAACATGGCCTAATGTGGACCAAAGGGTGGCCGAGTTTGTGAAAATGCCGGGTTATCGGAAATGGGGTTAAAAAAAAAACAATAAGTACGAGTGTTTCCTCAGAAAATACTGTACTGTACCTGTATGTATTGTTTGCTTGAGAATACAACAGAGAATAAACTGCCCAAATACCCTTAAACAAAGAAAAATTACATATTTTATGAAGGTACAGAGCCTTTACTATACAAAAATGAAAATTAATGAATACACAGTGTACAGTAATTTACCTGATAAGACAGACCTCAGAAAAATACTTTGAGGCATAAAGCTGTCTATAATGAAAATTAACTAGGGGTTTTTTTCGCCCTGCCAAGGTGTGGCTGAGTTATCCAGACTGCCGGGTTATCAAGTGCCGAGTTTTCAGGACTCTACTGTATTATGAATCAACGTTTACATATGAACTAATACAATAAAACTACATATAGGTAGAGTAAACATCATTGTTGTCTACTATATCAAAGGGGATAGAGTACCTAACTACTTATACCATTCATATCCCAAAAGAGAGTGTTTAAGAGATATCATGCTTAAATTTATGTAAACGGTCCAATGTCTTTACATCCAGTCCATGTGAACGTGAGAGTAATGCTCATGGATCTTCCCAGAAAAGAGTCAGGAGATGAAAGCTGGGAAACAGTCGAGATGAGAATTGAGTGACGGATGGAAGCTTGGCCTCTAGCTTCTAGGGAGAGTCTGCCCTGAGATTTGGATTTCTGCCCTTTTATCTTCTAATCCCCCTCCGGTTGGGGGTAGGTCTTTCCTATGTGACAGTATGCCTAAGCAGCATAGCACAAGCAGCGGTCTCATTGATGTGTGAAATAAGATCTCTCCATTGGAAGTTGACATACTGAAGGGAAGTATTATTTCCCATTCTCTATTACTATCATATGAGAATGGAAATTTGTATGATTTGTTTCTCTCACAACAATCTAGTTTACTTACACAAATACTTAAATAAAACCAGAAGTCTTCCATATTTAGGAAAAGCTCCTGTCTTATCCCTCCAGATTCTCACATATATAGAGAAAGTCAGAAAGGACTACAGATAAATATATATGTACAAAGTTGTGTGTATTATTATTTCTACTCATTTCAAATGACAAGATAAAAGACAGTGAAAAATTGTAGAAACTTTATTTGTCCATTTAATGGAAGACCACATATACATATTTAATACCCCATATAGTATACAGTATGTGAACATTAGTGCTTCTTGAAAATAACATCTGCTAAATGCCCTCTGCCTGCTTATATGCATTTTTGTAGATTGCACAGGAAGGCACCACATCCTGCAGAATCTCATGTATTTCCTAATAAATAGCAGCTTTCAACTCTTCAACCGTAAGTGACAGGCAGAGATTCCTTTCAGACATCCCCAGAAAAAGAAGTCTGGAAATGTTAAATCTGAGGAGTAGAATGGCCAGTGCAAATCACCAAAGCAGAGATCAGTAATCAGGAAAAACTCCGAGTAGAGTCATACTTGTGTGAACCACAATATTGTTGCTCCATCCTGTTGGATCCAAATTGTGTCAGCCATGTTTCATGCTTGCAATTATGAAATTACGAAATTTTACATCATATCACTTTAGTTGTTGGCATTCACGGTTAACCAGTCATCCGGTACAATCCTCAAAAAAGTAGGGGCTTACAATCCCACACATGCCCACTGCACACTACACTGGAATTTTCTATGCAGCCAGAGGTATTTCATAAAGAATTTGAAAACTTTCACTTACCCAGTATCTCCAGTCTTGTTTATGTGAAGAGCAAGGAATGTCTTGCAGTGATACAACAAAAGAATAAAAATTAATACAAAAAAAATAAGTGAAAAAATAGCAGACATTAAAAACTTTTAAACAGGAAACAATATATATTGATTTGATAATATATAAACTTTTTTATTACAAACACAATTGCTTATATTTTAATCTGTAACTGTCTACTCAGACATAGCTTATTAGTAGGATGTTTCGGGATGTTTTGAAGGACTTTGTTTTATGAATTTTCAGTCATTAATTGATTATTGTATTGTCATTTAGTCTTTGACTGTCAAAACTCTGAAGAATAGTTATTAAGATGTTTGGTAAGCTGTATTTATTGTTTAATTATAATATTATGACTGTGCCTTAACTTTCCTTCTGTATGTAATAGGATAATAGATTTTAATGGTTTTTTTATCTCTAGATTTTGTTGTTGTTTATGTAACTAATAATTTATGTTAATTAATATTACACTCTCAATTCCACTTGAGTTAATCTTTTTAAAACACTTCAATGATGTGGGAAACCTCCACCCAAAAAACAAATGGTTTTAACTATGAAAACCCCAAGTTTTCATAGTTAAAACCATTCCATTAAAGAAAAATTCATTTTTATTTAATTGGATGGTTTTAACATGGATTACATGGTTAAAATTATCCAAGAAAACTTGTTTGTTTTTCAAATGGACGATTCCCACCTCATTGAAATGTTTCCAATAAATAAATTCAAGTATAATTATGAGTAATATTAATTAATTATAATCAAGAAAATCACTGCAACAAAGATTAGGATTTATAATTTATCTTGTTTATGTCTTCTTAATTTTAGGGTAAATATCTCACATTGTTCTTTCTTTTATTATAGAGTTACATATTACAAAATTATTTAAAGTAAGAAATACATTTAGATTGCATTTAACTAAGTTTTAATTTGTTTTTCTTGTGATGTTTACGGGTGGTATGCTTTTGTTTTGTTGAGAGTAGTTATCATATGTTGCAAGAACTTCACAAATTGTCATACTTATTTACATTATAATTAGGAAACTATTCTAAAGCAATAT